TGGATATCATTAATACTTCATTTCTTCTATGAAATGATAGATCCAGTCACATCATAATGAATAAGATTTCTAATTAACTGACTCTTAAGTAAATTTAGTTTTCTTTATGCTGTGGGCAAAGGTTAATGACTCTTCTCTAACAGGCAAGATAGTAAATGTTTAGACTTTGCCATATGTGTCTGTCGGAACCACCAATTCTGCTTGTAAATAAGACCTATCACCCATCCTTAAACAAATGAGACGAGTATTCACATAGAATTTTACAAAATAGGCCTTAGTTTACATCTTCTAGTCCGGTATGTCTCAACTGGATATTACAATGGGATCATGGGTACACATTTTTTTTTAAATGGAGGTGTCGGGGGGGGAATCACAGCAGAGATTAGGGGCACAGGAGGAGCACTAGGAGAAAACTAGTCAGAATGGGGTTATTGTAACAAAAAGATTTAGAAATCCTGCTTAATTCTTGGGAAAATATCGGTAATGATAGTTTGGGACTATTTAATATTAAGTATTAGTCTCTAATTTCCACTTCAAAATACCTCTTTAATCAAAGGATTACTAAAAAGTCACATAAAACTTAAAGTTTTGAAATGCAATAATTATGACTGTTTTGTAAACAACAATAGAATAAATCAGAGTTTAACAAGACTTAATATGTTTAAAAAATGTAATTGTTTTTTAATTTGTTTGGCGGCCACACAGGCAGTGTTCAGAGCTTACTCCTGGTAGAACTCAGGGGAGCATGTGTGGTTCTCAGCAAGGCAACAAGCAATGCAAGCTGCTTCAACCCCAGTGCTTCTCTCAGCACTTTTTTAGAATCAGCTGTTACCATCATTTAATGATAAGGCCATCAGAGGTTTTATCTGTTTGTTTGTTTTGATTTGATTTCTCTTTGAGATCACATTCATGCACAAAGTTGTCTTAGTAGAGAATGAATCATTATATTAACTAGGTAAAACTTCTAACATTTTGATATGTAAAGTTTGAAACATTTACCCATGTAGATTAAGGCAGAAAGCTATTGCTTTGGGTACAATTTGTATACTGCACATTCGTGGCTTCTGGTTTCCTTCCTGGGAATTTAGTGGAAGAGATTTAGCTTTTATTCAAATAGTCTAGTGAATTATACTAGGCATGTATGCAAAACCACTTAAAACTATACAACAATTAGACTGAGATTTGTGTCACATTGTGAAGTGGTTATTAGGGATTAAAGCCAATGTATAAGACAATTGCAGGAGTGATAGCACAGCGGTAGGGCGTTTGCCTTGCATGCCGCCAACCCAGTCAAGCCGGGTTCGATTTCTCCGTCCCTCTCGGAGAGCCCGGCAAGCTACCAAGAGTATCTCGCCCACACGCCAAAGCCTGGCAAGCTACCCATGACGTATTCACTATGCCAAACACAGTAACAACAAGTCAAGAGTGGAGATGTTACTGGGTCTGCTTGAGCAAATCAATGAACAATGGAAGGACAGTGAAAATTGACATTAAAATTCTTTCCCTGAGGCTGGAGAGGTAGTGCAGGGGGTTGGGCATTTTCCTTCCTGCTGCTGACCCCAGTTTGGCTCTCACATCAACTATGGTGCTCTCATACCACAGGAGTGACACCTGACTATAGAGCTAGGAGTAGTCTCTTAAGTACTTTGAGAAATAAACTGCAACCCTCTTCCCATAGAAAATCTTTTCCAGTTACATCATTTTGTTGTTCCTCTCACTATCAATTGATCTAGGACTTTTGCTAGTGCCAGCTTAGCTCACTAGGGAAAGAGGAGAAAGCAGCTAATCCAGGCTGAGCTCAGAAGACCATACGCTTAACTACAATTCATGCATTTTCTTTCTGGGGCTTCAAGTTGACGCAAGCAAAATTTCCCACTGAAATGTCACAACCTTAGAGAGAGAACGTCTATTACATTACATTGGAGATGCTTTATACATGTACTAGCCTGCCATTGGTCAGAACATATCACCTAATGAACCTTGTTGGCAGAAAATGCAGCATTCCATAGAGACAAAGATCAGACCTATGAATGCAATGAACCAGAGTATACTTGTACATGCATATGTATCTACACACATATACACAATACCCTAGAATTAATTACATTCAATATGTACAGGATATGAAATTATATGATAGGCCAAAATTTATCATTAATTCTTGGACAATAAAATGTTATCAATAAGATTATAAGAATATATTGAAGCGATTTGCAAACTTTTACTAATGAAAGACTTTTATAATCTTATAGAGTCATAGAGAGCTTCAAAGATGTTTTTATACTGTTTGTGCACATATATATGTACATATATATACACTCTGCACATGTGATACAATTTTTTTCTTTTATCTTTTTCTTTTTTCTTCTTTTTTTTTTTTGCATCACACCCGGAAACAGGGGTTACTCCAGGCTCATGTGCTCAGGAATTACTCCTGCCGGTGATCGGGGGACCACATGGGACGCTGGGAATCGAACCTGGGTTCACCACGTGCAAGGCAAATGCCCTACCCACTGTGCGATTGCTCAAGTCCCACATGTAATATAATTTAACATAAACTTGTTTATTTTACAATAACAACAAACATTATTCATATATGAATAGAAATAATGTACTATTATGAAAACAAATTGTATTTTCTGAATGATTTTTCATGTCTTTTTTGACACATCTCTTTGTTTCACTTGATAGAAGCTATCTGAATTTCATATCCACATCTGCAGTTTTCTTTTTATCTTTTTCCTTTTTTTTGCTTTTTTTGTCACACCCAGCAATGCCCAGGGGTCCCTTCTGGCTCTGCACTCAGGAATTACTCCTGACGGTGCTTGGTGGACCATATGGGATGACTGGGATTGAACCCTGGGTCGGCCGCGTGCAAGGCAAATACCCTACCTACTGTTCTATCACTCCTCCCCTGCAGTTGCCTTTACTTTTTTTTTGTTGAATCACTGTGAGATAGACCCTTACAAAGATGTTCATGATTAGCTTTCAGTCATAGAGTTCCAACACTCATCCCTCCACCAGCGTACGTATCTCACCAGCAGTGTCCCCATTACACCTTATGCCACAGCCTGCCTCTATGGCAGGCACTTCTCTTCTCTCTCTCTCTCTCTCTCTCTCTCTCTCTCCTTCTGACATTTTTGTTTGCAATACAGATACTGAAATATTATTAGAAATATCCTTTTACTTACTTTTTTACATTCTTTTTTATTAATCATTGTATTATTATTTATTTATTTTTAATTTTTTTAAATTTTTTTATTAGTGAAATACCATGAGGTACAGTTGTAGACTTATAATTTTTTGTGCTTGGGTTTCATTTATACAATGATCAAGTACCCATCCCTCCACCAGCGCCCATCCTCCACCACCACGGGTCCCAGCATCCCTCCCACCCCCCATCATCCCCCTCCCCCCCGTCCCACCCTGCCTCTGTGACAGGGCATTCCCCCTTGTTCTCTCTCTCTTCTTTTGGGTACTGTGTTTTGCAAGAGAGGCACTGAGTGGCAATCATGTTTGGTCTATAGACTACTTTTAGCATGTCTCTCCCACCCTGGGAGGGTCTTCACAACACCCTTTATTTGGTGCTCTCTTCTCTATCTGAGCTTCCTTTCCCCCTAGCACGTGTGGCTGGCCTCCAAGTCATGGAGCAAAATTCCTGGTACTAATCTCAGCCATTCCTGGGTGTTAGTCTCCCATTTTGTTGCTGTATGTTCCCCAGATAAATGCAATCTTTCTGTGTCTATATTGCTCTTTCCGACTCATTTTGCTTAACATGATACTTTCCATGTAGTACCACTTGTATATAAATTTAATAACTTCATCTTTTCTAACAGCTACATAGTACTCCATTGTGTAAATGTAGCAAAGTTTCTTTAACCAGTCATCTGTTCTTGGGCACTCAGGTTTTTTCCAGATACTGGCTATTTTAAAGAGTGCTGCAATGAACAAACAATTGCAGATGTCACTTCGACTATACTTTTTTGCCTCTCCGGGATATATTCCCAGGAGTGCTATTGCTGGGTCAAATGGGAGATTAAATTCAAATTTTTTGAGAATCGTCCATACTGTTTTCCAAAAGGGCTGAACCAGTCGGCATTCCCACCAACAGTGAAGGAGGGTCCCTTTCTCACATCTGCACCAGCACCGGTTGCTTTTGTACTTACTTTGAACTCTCAGTTCTTGTCCACCACGATCATTTCCATCATTTCCATCTATTATTGCCATAATGATCCATTCTCTGTCTTACCTACCCTCTGACCCACACACACTTGTGGTTGATTCCAACAATTGGCCAATACTCCTAGCCCCTGTTTTACCTGGCCAAGAATATTAGTCTTCATATACATATACATACATGTGTATTTGTGTGTATACATCACAAATGAATACAGTCACTGTCACTGTCCACTGTCCTCCCATTGTTCATTGATTTGCTCAAGCGGATCCAGTAATGTCTCCATTTTTCACTCAGCATGATACTCTCCATGCCCATCTATTTATAGACAAAATTTTAAGAACATTACCTTGCAAATGTTTTTTTCACATTAAATTTTTAATGTGTAAATGAAGGTACTAATATTTAATAAAAATTATCAGTTTTTCAACTTTATCAAGAAAAGTTGTAAGATAAATCATCTCTCTATTTTTTTTTAATCTTGAAACTGGATTATTTTGACTGCAGTGAATAGTATTGGTGTCACTGCCTCCATTTACACTCTAAGGTCAACGGTGATTTTTCTTTTATTTTGTTTTGACCCTTCTCTGGTTTTACATTATCAATATAACAGTAGAGTGAAGAGAGGATAGAACTTCTGATCATAACATTCTTTTGAACTGAAAGTATCTTGAAAATTCGCACAACTGAGTGATTCATACTTTCTGAACCATATTTATGGCATAATAGTTTGTAAAAATTTCCTTAACAATATGTGTGCTTACTAATTCATACCATTAAACAAATTTGAAACTAGTTATTATCTTATTACCTTCTTCTCCAGGGTTGTTTTGTTGGCTTTGATCTAGCACATGCAGTTGGAAATGTTGAACTACACTTACATGACTGGGGAGTTGATTTTGCCTGCTGGTGCTCCTACAAGGTACAAAATACTTAATTTGTTTACTACTTTTATTAACATACTTTTAATCTTCATTGACATTAATTTAAGTAAAACACAGGATTGGTGATTGATTTTAAGTACTTGTATTACCTCATTATGCATTTTCTTATATTTTCCCTTCATAATATGTGGAAAAGAAAAATGAACACACTATGTGTGAGGAACTTTAGTATAGGGCTACCTTCTGATGCATTTTCTAATTTTAGTTAATAGTGGAGTTGTTGTGGGCTGGAGTGATAGCACAGCGGAAGGGCGTTTGCCTTGCACGCAGCCAACATGGCCGACCCAAGTTCGATTCCTCTGCCCCTCTTGGAGAGCCCGGCAAGCTACCGAGAGTATCTCGCCTGCACGGCAGAGCCTGGCAAGCTATCTGTGATGTATTCGATATGCCAAACACAGTAACAACAAAAGTCTCCAAAAGAGACATTACTGGGCCCGCTCAAGCAAATCAATGAACAACGGGAGGACAGTGACAGTGACAGTGGAGTTGTACAAAAGGATAATATGACAAATCATTAAATATTGGTATTTTTACAGTTATAGAAAACATTCCCTGGTTGCATAAAAAAGTCAAGAGGTTTTTTTTTTTAAGCACCACGAAAACAATTTAATTCATATAGGTTACTTGTTTATTTGTTGCCATATTGTGAAATCTCAGGGTTGGAGCCATAGCACAGCGGGTTGGGCATTTGTCTTGCACACAGCCAACCCGGGTTCGATTCCTCTCGAAGAACCTGGCAAGCTACCGAGAGTATCTTGCTTGCAGGGCAAAGCCTGTCAAGATACCCGTGACATATTCGATATGCCAAATGCAGTATCAAGAAGTCTCACAATGGAGACGTTACTGGGCCTGCTGGAGCAAATCGATGAACAATGGGAGAACAGTATTACAGTGCTATTGTGAAATCTCAATTGTTATTTGAAAATAGTTCAATTAGCAGGGAGCATGGAAATTGAACTAATTTATATTAATTAAAATGTTTTTAATGAACACTATATGTAATAAATTTTAAGAAAGTTAACTGAATAGATGAGGTTTTTAATAAAATGGACATCATTGGAACTTTTATGTACTAGTTGAAGTACAATTTGTCAAAAGTAATATTCTTACTTAAAAATGCTACGTTTCATTTATGTCTTTGAACAAGGTACAAGAACTTTTTGCTGCAAAACCACATTCAAACTCATCAGAAATTGATTTTATTTTTAAAATTATTAAATTATTCACTTTTGTAACGTAGTGAACTAAACTCATACAATTTAATTTGCTTTCAATCCAGTATTTAAATTCAGGAGCAGGAGGTCTTGCTGGTGCATTTGTCCATGAAAAACATGCCCATACAATTAAGCCTGCGTAAGTACATCTTCAAATTCTTCTTTGATACTAAAAAATTAATTCACTAAATTTACTTGAAATCTTTGATAGGACCCAATAAAATCTGTATTAATTATAATTATTTTACTACTCTATTAAAATAATATGTTTTATAAAAGATTTCTAAAGAGTTCAGTTTATTGAACAAGAAATTTATTCTCAAACAGGGATGCTTCATTGCTAAAAATGAGTTGCTGTAATCATATAGAGCGTATGGTTTAATACAAAAAGACTACTTTAAAAAAATTAGACTAGAAATTTTCAAATTCCTCACATAGATGAATAAATCAAAAGCAGCCAGAGCTGTGGATAATAGAACCTTAAATGTGGTGTGTTATTATTAAAATTACCCCTACCTATAAAGCTAGTAACATTACATGATGGTCTTCTAAGGAATATATTCTGTGGAAAAAGATTTTATAATCCATGAAACTGAAGAAGCTGAACATTGAACAACAAGCGAACTATATAAAAAGCATTACTTTTCTATTTTATACAACTCTTCATTTTTCGAGGCAAGGATAAATGCAGATGTGATACACCAACAAATTTACACAGTTTCATTTTACTGCTGATCTTATAGTATTCCTTTTATTTTTATCTGATAGAGGAATAAAGAATATTTGAGGTGGAATTTTTATAGTTCTATCAGAGTATGTGTGATGACAAGACTATCTAGATGCCTAATAGGTAATATAATAATATTTGATTCATTTTCTGAATTTTAGCCACTAAATGAGTGGTATAATCTTTATGAGGACTGAAACTGAGTTAGTAATAAAACTCAAAGCACCTCACATTTCTGAGTTTCTATGCATATAAATCCTAGAAATTCAAGATGATTTTTTGCAGTTCACTTAATCATGTTTAAATTTTCCTCAAGGTTTTAAAGTTTAAAATTAAATAGAGCATTTTCTGTAGTCAAGTATATTTTTACGGAGAAGTCTTCCTTGAATATATTGTCAGGACAATAGATCTCTTTTCATGACCCAAATGCTATGGGTCAAGAAGAAACCTAAAGCATTAGAGCTAGAGAAAGCACTTCATCTGCATGGAAAAGGATGATTCCTCTCTCTGCATGGTACCCCAAGAAATTCTAAGTGTAACCCCTAAGATCCCCAGGTATTACACTGGAGCACTGTCCTCCTGTTATTCATTGATTTGCTCAAGCGGGCACCAGTAATGTCTCCATTTTTTTTTTTACTGGGCCAGTTATTACACCTTCCCAAAAATCTCAAACATTTGTGTTATTATCATCATTATTATTATTATCACTATAATTTGTGGGGCCTCATTTGGCTGTGTTCAGGGCTTACTCCTGGATCTGCACTCAGGATTCATTTCTTATGAGTTTGGAGGAACCATATGGGGTTCCAGGAATAAAACCCCGATCAGTCCTATCCAAACAGGTGCCTTAGCTTATAGTACCTCTCTGGCCCCTTAAGCATGTATTATTTTATGCATATTTAAGAATGCATGTTTTAGCAAACTCCATTAATAATATTTTATCTACATAATGCCTTTCAAATAAACAGCACTATATTATTTGTTCATTTCATGGAACCACAATAACCATGGGACACTATATTAAATTGTTAATAAGAATTTGATGTACCTATCAACCCAACACAAAAGTCTTTGAAAGTTGAGGGTAGGGATGGAGGAAATGGAAAGTAATCTACACAAATTGTATGGAAAGCAAGTAGAAGCAAGATATGTTGTTTGAGATTTTCCTAGCTAAAGTGCACTCTAGGATTGAGGAACAGGAAATAAAAAAGTTGTTTAAGTATGAGCCACCCTTCACCATCCCCTAAATGTTGAAAATAAATGTCAATTTTGTGCACCCAGAGGAAAGATCTTACAGATTCACATTTGGGAAATTTTCTAATCCAATACCTTAAGGGGGATCAGAGGAATAATCATGTAGGTGGGAAGTTGTTTGCCTTGCATGCAGACAACCTAGGTTCAATTCTCAGCATTCTAAATGGTTCTCTGAATCTACCGGGAGGAATTCCTCAATGCTAATGACTGAGCACTGTCAGGTGTGGTTCCCAAAACAAAACAAAAAAAACAAAACAAAACAAAACATTAAAGATATTCCTGGATCTCTCAGTATTCTTGTCTCTAAGATAATATCAGAATCTAACTCATAGGTTTTTAGTTTTTTGGTTTTTGTTTGTTTGGTTGATTTTTTTTGTCTGTTTGCTTTGGGGTTTTTTTGGAGGAGGGTTTATCATAAAAGGGGGAGGTGTGCTGGTAAGGTCCTAAACCTTGTCATCTGAGAATCATATGTGAACCACCCATGTTAGTTGAATGCTTCATTCCCTTGTAGGTTTTTGCCTGGTAAAGATCACTGTTTTCAAGTAGGAAATGTAACTCTAAACTCAACTTTAAGGGATTTTGTGAACTTTAGGATATTTTAGTAGTTTGTCTCCAAGTTCATTTCAATAGCCTTTCACAGACCAGTTTTATCTGCATTCCTTAAATTCTCAGCTTTAGCATCTTAACAGACCCTTTATCAAATATTAAGGTGACTGTGACTCATTATGTATTTTCATTTTAAATTCTTATGGGAGCCTGGCTTTTAATTTTTTTTTTGAAAATTATTGTTATTCACTGTTCACTTTTATTTTCCTGCTTTGAAGGATGACAGAGCTAAAAAATCAGAAAAGAGTGCAAAATAATTATCCTTATTGAAAACTTTGGTGCGTGTTGTTTCTTTGTTGTTAGGCTGGAGCGATAGCACAGTGGGTAGGGCGTTCGCCTTACAAGCGGCCAACATGGCCGACCCGAGTTCGATTCCTCCGCCCCTCTCGGAGAGCCCAGCAAGCTACCGAGAGTATTTGATATGCCAGACACAGTAACAACAAAGTCTCCAATGGAGACGTTACTGGGCCCACTCGAGCAAATCGACGATCAACGGGAGGGCCTTTACCTTTACCTTTACCTTTAGTTTTACACATGCTCAGAGTAAGTAATTCCGATGGGTGCAAATTTTCACCCTAAAGTGGAATTTAACTTAGTTGCAGAAATATTTTGTTGCTTAAAAAAGGGTGACATCTAGTGGCTAAGTGTGTTATTTCAAATAACAAATAACGTTCAAATAACATTTCCTTTCCAGTTCCAGATGCTCAGTCTACATTAAATGACTGAGATACACTTAGGTTGCTTTGCTATTTTATATAATTAGACAATATGTATATCATGTAATAATTGTTTAGTCAAATTCAGATAAAAGGTTGGGCAGAAAAAAGGTGGCAGCAACAAAAAGTACATACTAGGTGCATGATTAGCAGCATATGTAATTTTACATCCTGGTTGGGGATTTGGGGATAAAGGGAATGATGGTAGCGGGAGGCTCACCTGATTTTATATATATATACAGGACCCCAGAACCTGTAACACTGCTTTCCAAAAGTTTTATATCAAGTATATAATTTTTAAATATATAATGTTTCCATTAGCAACTAGTTAATTGCATCTCATCTCTAGAGAGAAACTTTGCCTTCATTTTTTTCTGTTTAAAGAGGCATTTTGGCCATTGTTCAAAACTAATGACCTAAGACTTTTCCAAGAGCCCTTTGCCAATAAAGACAATTAGTAAAATAGAGGCCAGAGTCGATTCACTGCATTAAGCATCATAACTCAAGCTGCTATTCTCAACTAGAATTTGACCTTATCCTACTTTATCATCACCCTTTCTATTCCAGTGTCATATTCTAAACCTTGGATATAGCTAAGAATTAAACCAAATTAGTCCTGGCCATGAGTAAATGTCATCTTGTGTTTTTTTCCTTTAGGGCTGACTTTAATTTAGTCTACAATGTCAATGAGTATTTCTCTGAGATATGGAAAAAATACAGTTGTACATAGGCCACTGTAAACTGAATCACTTAAGAAGTACTGAAATAAATTGGACTTCACTCGTTTCAAATAAATGGTTTTCATTTGCGCATTGTGATTTACAAATGTGTTGATAATAGAGTTGCAGGCATAAAATATCCCAACACCAATCCCACCAACAGTATCAACTTCCCTCCACCAGTGTTCTTAGATTTCCTACAACCTCAAATCAGACTCCTTAATACACTTTTAAGTTTAATTTTTGTGGTTCTCACGTGTACAGGAGATATAGCCCTTTAGTGAAAATAATATATATCACACCTCTACACTGCTGATGTGTCTGATACCCCTGAAATTTAACCTTCTCTCTTTTTACTCCTCCACTTTATCTATTTTCTTCTCTAGGTCTACCCATTTAAATTTTGTAAATGTTGACCTTGCTGGTACACTTTAGAATAAAATTTTACAGAAGTAAATCATATAAACGATTCAAAATTTTTTATAAGTACAAAACACTCAAACATACTGTAAAACTGCTGTTCCTTGACATGTGTATATGTATATCATTTCAAGACTCTGGTGTGCTGAAGATTTTCATTAAAATACTAGAATTTTAAATGATTGCAGCACATTTTTATGATCAGAAACATTTGATTATAGACTTCAATAGAGATGATATTCGTAAGTCTTTATATATGAATGGATGCAGTCATCTTTATTTTAACAAGTATTTTCAGGTTACTAAGAACCACCCAAGGGACCATAGAGAGTATAGAGGTTAAGGTGCTTGCCTTACTTGCAGGTGACCACAGTTAGATACCTGGCACTGCATATAGGCCCTCAAATACTAACAAGTATAACCCAGAAATACAGTCTGATGTCGCCTAACCTTCCTCCTACCATCCCCACATACATATACAATAAAAATACTGAGACAATAAGAAAGTATAGGTGTAGTGGAAAGACGTGTGAATATGCATAACTCCAGTTGCTTCTAGATAGAGTAGGGCAAAACTTACAGATTTCTTATTGATAAGTTGCCCAGAATTTCTTGTTGAATAAAATATGATATAGTCTTTTTAGGTGTCTGTTATACCTATTCAGTGTATTTATGGAACTAGATTATTAAGTATTGA